AAATTAGCTGGGCATCCTGGCACATGCCTGAAGTCCCAGCTACTTGGTAGGCTGAGGCAAGAGGATCATTGGAGCCCAGGAGTCTGAAGTTGCAGTGAACTATCATGACACCACTGCACTCTAGCCTGGGTGACAGAAGGAGACCCTGTCTCAGGGAAAAAAAAGAAAAAGAAAAAGAGAAAGAATGCTCATAGGAGCTTTACACAGAACACTGGGAAATAAAAGAAGAATATCAAGCATGTACATTACTTGTCCTGTACTAACCGTAGCACTGGCTAACAAAATAGTAAAGAAAGAAAACTTTCTCTTTATAGAATTTCAGCAAATAAATAAAAAAGAAAGTATAGAACTATATTACAATGATGTTGCAACCCCTAGTAAATCATCATTCTAGGCATTTTGCATCAACTGCTGCAATAATCTCAAAAACGGAATTATGTGCCTCTTGAGGATGAACACCCCACCACCTAGGAAGTAATCTTGTCAAAAAAGGAGGGGTGTTCTGAAACTGATTAAGTCCCTAGATCCAATTCTCAGTTTACAGGAAGTACAGAGGATGGAAGAACACATTAAACTACATCTCATGAAAGTAATCAACAAAATCCAGATTGTGGGAAAATTCTAAGATAAATAATCTGGTTTTTTCAACAGAAAAGTTAAAAAAAAAGAGAGAGATAAAGAAATAGGTATGTTAAGGAAACCTGCAGATTATAAGACACTTAAAAAATGGCTTTAAAAGAAAAGCAAAACTAAGCTCTAATATCTAGGGGTGCACACCTGGGTAATAAAACAATGTAGAAAAGCAAGGAAGTGAGAATAAAAATCAGAATAGTGGGAGTTACTCTTAAGGGAAAGGGAAGGAGCTGTATTTGGGAGAGGGCACTGCATTACATAACAAATTTCCTGAGCTCTTCTAATACTCAGTAATGGTATGGCATGATTAAAAGTAGAATGTAGAGCCAAAATGTGGAAATAAAAAATAAACAGAACTTAAATAAAATATTATATCACTTTTAATTACATTTAAAACTTTACAAAATGCTTTCTTAAGCAATGACCAGGTGCAAAGTTTGCAAACAGTAAAATGCTTTATGAGCACATGCTTGAAATAACTGCTTGCATAACTGCAAAATTGCTGAATTGAATTTTATGTTCAAAAAGAAAAATAACATCTGATGTCTCTAGAATATTGCCAGACACTACCTATTCCTTGAAATTCCCCTGACTTGGCTTCTATTTCATTATCCTACAAGACTCTAAATATTTTGCTAACCACACAAAAATTCTTCCAATTGCCCTTTAAATGTTGGTGCCACTTGGGATTTTGTTCTCTGGTCTCTATACTTCTCCATTTGAGATTCCTGCATTGGACACAACTTTTACCTCTCATACTCCTTATCTGTAAAACTCCAAGCTCCATTCAAGACTTCTTTCTTGATCTCCAGGCCCCATAGCTTCAGGTGTCTACTGAGCATCTAAACCTGGCTATCTCATGAGTACTTCAAACTCGGTATATCCAAGGGAGATTCATTAGCATTTCCTTCCCCTGACCTCTAACACTGAATCACATACTGCAGTACTCAGTTCATTCTACCTCTAAAATGGCAATCAAATTTGCCCAGTTTTCTTCAACCCTCATTTTTTTCATTAGGACTAGCAAATGACCTCCTAACTTCTCTTGGCTACTTTCTCTTCCTCCATCTGTTTTTTATAATGACACCAAAATTGTCCTTCTAAAAGCAAAACTCAAATTATTTAACTACCCCGATTAGATACTTTTCATTTGCAATACAAAGTATCTTATATTGGATACCACAGTTTCCTTATTTGTAAGATGGAACAATACGGTATTTCATGAGACTATAAAAAATGCTATCATAAGAAAAGCACTAGTAACATAATTTAGCAATTGTTCAATAAATGGCTATGTACTTCTCACCACTGTCTCACTGGGAAATATAATAAAAACTAACATGTATGGTGCAAAAAGAATTATATGTTGATTATATCATTTAATCTTCACAACAGTTATATGAGGCTTATGAGATAAGTATAATACCATCGTCATCATCCCTACTTTACAAAGCAAAGAGAGGTTGACTATCTTGTCTAAGATCCCACATCAAGATGATGGCACTGAATCTCAAATGTAGGTAAGGCTGAGTCCAGATTCTCATAACCAACAGTATATATACCAACACTCAAAGATATGAAATTCTCATGACAATGAGACTATTACCTTCAAATTGTTGAACCAATATTCTAAATGAAAGAAGATATTAATAGCAAATAAAACAAATTTGTAACAGCAACATACACTTTGAATGTAATGATAGATGAATGGTGTGATCAACACATTTAAAACATTCACATTTTCAACTAATACTCTTTTACATAATTTAAAATGTAATGTAGCCTTTCTTAGTGGCAGGGCATCCTCCAAGCCCTAATTGTTATTATCCAAGCTCTTATTGTTACTCTAATTTTTTCCGATTATACTTTGCAGGTGCTTCTACAGCTTGCTTTCCTTCCTGTAAAGAAATGACAGCATCAAAAAAAAATGTAAAAACAATTCTACCTTTTTACATATTTTGTGGTTAGCCAACAAACTAATGTGAGCTCAATGGATAATGTTTCAACTTCCCTAATATTGCACAACGGCGATGCATTTTTGCTGTTTTGGAGTGTTGCAAAACCTGCATGACATCTACATTTCTAAGACTATAGAAACTTGTTTAGTTTCTAAAATATATTTTCAAAGACTGTTCTTAAAACTATATAGTAATTTATATCTAAATACATTCTTATTTTCATAATTAAAATTTTAAAAATATATGGACCTTTCAGCAATTTGCAATCTTGAGAGAAATGATATTTAGATTTTCTTGAGTCTGTTTAGAACCTAATCTCTTTAACCATTCACTAGAAATTAAAGTCTACTTTGTTCATTCATTTTTGAAAAAGAACAAAATGGAAAAAGTCAATTAAAACTTCTTGTATAGGACAGTATTTCCAAACATGCTTTACTAAAAGAGTTTTACTGCAACATGTACAACTGATTAGATGGAACAACTCTGACTGAAGCTGAGATAGGAATTATACAGCCCCATCAGGCTTACTTTTCCTTCATTTCACCACAGAAGCCAAGGAGGTCCCTTGTTACATACTAAAATATGAACGAGACATGCAGAATCCTTACAGAAACAGTCAGAAGGCCACACTAACATGAGGCCAACACCCCAATATGAAAGTGAAGTGATCAAAAAAGTGAAACACTCTCAATTTTAACATTATGTTATGCTTCTTACCATATGGACTTGAATTGACCTTATAAAATAACTCCTCTGGATAACAATA